GTTAAGCATTAAACTTAGGAATCAGGGGAGGATGGAGGGAGTGAAGGGAGGGCAGAGGTATGGGGAAAAAATAACCAAGATCTGTCATGTAAAGGTACAAGATCCTAATGATGCATGTAACTGTACTCTGTACTGTATATTTTAAAAGTACCAATAAATAAACTCAATAAGATTAAAAACAAACAAACAAACAAAAAGCTTAGGAATCATATCTATAATAAGCCTTATATTTGTGAAAAAACTTTTCCATTTTTATAACTCATATTGACTTAAAAAAAAAAAAAGCTCCCTTGATTTCTGTTGAGTTACTGTCACATTTCTCAGGTCCGCTTTCTAAAGAGAAGTCTCTATATTTGTGTTCTCTACTTTCCCTTTCCTGTCACTGCTGTTTTTGAGGTGACATCATGAGATATTGGCCCTCATTTCCTTCTCAAAACCACCAACAACTTTCATGTGGACAAATATCAATTATTTTAGTCTTTCTCACCTTCAGTACTTCATAAACATCTGATACAACTGGCTATATCTTTTTTTATATTTTATTTTTTCCCATTTCTTTTAAAAATACTTTTATTTTGGCTTCCCATTCCCTTGTTTTCCTACTATTTCTTCTCATTATCCTTTGCTCTCTTCAAGGTCTGGGCCCTCTTTATTTTCTTAAAAAGTTGCAACCCATGTCTAAATTTATTCAAGAAGCCTTGACCTCACTGTAGACTACTAACTATATCCAATGCTTATTTGAAGCATGCAGTTAGTTACCTAGTAAGCCATGCCACAGCAAAGTGAACAATTCAAAGCTTTTGATCACTCTCCTTCTTCATAACTAGCTCCTTCCATGATATTCTCCATGCCTATTAGTCACACCACCAAACTCCCAAATATTCAACCAAAAAGTTAAGAGGTCATTGGCAGTTCAGCCCTTTTCATTTTCATCTCATCAAACTATGCCAATACTATCTTTTTAAACACAATAATCTTTTAACTTCTCCTCAGTTCTCTTACTGACTGCCAAACTCAAACTCCCAAATTACTGCAAAAATTAACTGATCTCTCTTTGACTGTACTAGTCACATTAGGTTACTGCTCTGTTTCTCAAATATTCCAAGTATTTTCTCATCTTGGGCATTTGTGTTCCCTTTTTCTTTTGTTTTTGTTTTTTTGAGACAGGGTCTCACTACATAGTTAAGACTGACCTGGAACTATGTAGCCCAGGCTGGACTTGAACTCACAGCCATCCTCCTGCCTCAGCCTCCCGAGTGCTGGGATTACAGGCGTGCGCCACCATGCCCGGCTCCCTGTTTCTGATATGTCTCTGCCTGGCTATTTCTTGTCATATAAGTCCTAGTTCATAAATTTATTTGTCATAAAGACATTTCTTGATCAACCAGTCTACAGCAGTTCTCCCACTGTATGTCCCAATTATCAGGACACACCTTTTATTTTTTTCCTTCATAGCACATATGAGATCTTGTTGAAAAGATTTCCTCAGAATGCTTATATCTCAATCTGAGGTCCCAACAGAAGACTTCACCTGCAACACACACACTTCGATGTACAGATACATAAACATATGTCCATCCACTATTTATAAATAATTTAAGGATTGAGGTATCATTATTACCAGTACTATGGTTTTAAAGGCAAAATATCACTAATGTCACAATCATAATCTCTCAGTACTTTAAATCTGGTGGTATTTGCTTATTTATAAGCAGTGTGATACCACTAGTAGTCAGTTAACATGTTTACTCTTCTTGTGTCACAAAAAATGATAGGAAAAATCAAGTAACGATTTTAAAAAATGTAATCATATAAATCCAATATTACCTCAGGAATGACTTCCTCTAAGGCAGAAAAGTATTGTATACACAATCAATTCTGAAGCAGCATCTATGTATTTCTCCTGTGATGATATAAAAGAAAAAAAATCATTTAACATTATTAAATACAAAAATTTTTTCCTCATTAAACTGTATGGGGTAAGCAATAGCATAATAATTTATTACCATATGCTCTTTTTGGTGAAAAGATGAAATATAAACAAAACAATTTTTTTTGAGGCAAAAGACCATTGCAACTAATTTTTATTCTATTCCAAGTAAAGTTGACTAAACAAGGATGTTTCACATTTATTAACCTACAGTTACATTAATAATGATATGTATGAAGATGATGATTACAGGGAAAATAAGTGCGCATACACATGTCCATATAACATAAATTTAAGTCAATGGTCTCTTAAAAAGTTGACAGCTACACAAACACACACACACACACACAAAAAAAAGTGGGAAAAAAGAGCCAGGGATGTAGCTCAGCAGCATAGTGCCTGCCTGGCAGGGGTGAGGCCCTGAGTTCCATTCCTGGGTAACCCCATCTAAAAAAGTTGACATTCACACTGCAGCTTGTAGCCGTAAAGACTCAAAATGATAAAAAGTAATATAAAATTTAAATAACTAAGTCAGTAATAGGAGAAATACTAAATATCCCCCACTTTTTTACTGACTTCTATTTTATATCAGCAAATACCAG